AGTGTTCCATCTCCTTTCCCTTTGGGGTTGCTGTAGGTGATCTGGAAGTCTGGTTTTGAGACTTGTTTATGTGTCTTCCCATTTCGATGTAGGGGTGTGTGTGTGTGTGTGTGTGTGTGTGTGTGTCTGTGTCTGTGCTGTTGGCACCCACATGGCTCACATCCTCTGTGCTGGGAGCGGTGGAACAGTGTCCTGGAAGCCCCTACCACTGGGCTGGGAGCAGTACAATGGTGGCCCAGAAGCCCCTTCCTCCGGGCTAGAAGTGGTGGAACAGATTCTTCTTTTGAAGAATCAGAAGATTTAACAAGCTTTGGTCAATATCCCCAAGTAGCAAATGGAGGCTGGAGTGGAAGGGTAATGGATTCTCTGTCTCCTTGGATTCCCCATCACTTGTGAATATCCTCCAATATTTTCTTTTGGTAGGGTGAGAGCAAAGTTATCTTGCAGTTTCTTACATTTTAAATGCAAGCAGACTTCTCCAGAAGTTTGGATTTAAGTGATTTTATAGTACCATTCTTCCTTTGCTCTCTGTTGGTATTTAGGTAAATGCACCTCAAGTGGGTGCTTCTAGCTCAGGGCTTCATAGCTATATATTGTGAAGTGGGAAAATAGCAAATTCAGGTTGTGATGGGTTATAAATTTGGGCAGCTTTGGTGGTTCTTTACGTTACTTAGCCTGGCAAACTTAGGAACCAAACTCTGATCCATGATCACATAGGCTTGGGGGTGGTTCTAAGTGAACCAAAGGGGAGGCAGACATTTTTCTAAGTAAAATTCAGACCATTTGGGAACCTTATTGTCACCTTCAGTCACGTGGAATTTCTTAAGACGGTTACCAGGACTATAGATGTTAAACTAATATTTGATGAACAAATGCATGGAGATAGGAGAAAAGGTAGAGAGAAATAAGAATTGCCTGTTCCAATTGTGGGACAGTTGTCGACTGGCTGAGATCATATTTTTGGATAATTCCTGAGATTCAATAGCTATTCTGCTTCTTAAAACAAGGAGGAAGATGGAGACAGGATTATCTTTGCCAAGATCCAGGATCAAACAGAAAGCATTTAGGGTTATAACATGAGAGTCTTTTTCATTTATTTTTTGGTGGTGCTAGAGATTCAACCCACAGCCTCATATATGCCAGTCACATGCTCTACCATTGAGCTATATCTCAATTCACCTCCTATATTAAGAATTTAAAATTGACTCCCAAAATAATTTTAATCAAAATGTTTATTTTAAATTTCTGAAATGTTTAACCATGAATTACTATATACTAAATTAGATTCAAATGGAGAACAGCCTCTTATAAAAAAAAAAAAAGAAAGCTAAAGGTATATTGCCCAGTATCAAGTAGCAGTGAGAAGACATTTATTCCTTATAGAATCAGCTATATAACAACTATATTTTGAGCAATGACCACTTAAGCTTTATACCACAGCTATCAGTCTCAACTTCTTGTGAGGAACACTAGGTTAAATTTTAAATTTGAACCATTTTAGTGGTATCTGAGGAAGAAATTCCCCAGTGTATAAATTTGTATTTCAGGATAATAACCAACATGATCTCTCAGACCATACTTAATTCAAATTTAACCTAATACTTATAATGAGGATTGGGGCTAAGTGGATATGTGCTATAGATGAAAACTAAAGATGTCTCCTTCAGACAAAGGAGCATTAATTTTATGTATGTTATATAATGAAATGATCTTCCCAACAGTGAGATATGATATAATCTAGGTACCAACCCAGCAACAGAGCCTAAAATTTTAAGTTCCACCTCTGGAGGACTATAGCCAACCAACTAAGAAAATGCTACTGTGGTCATACAACAATTCACTGACTTGACAGATGTGAGTGAAATTTTAGCTCGTCTAATTATAAAATGAGATTTAAATTTGGAATTTAAGAGTTTCAAGACAGAGTAAGGAATGTGGTATCCATATGAACAAAATTTTATTAACAAGTCTGGGGTTTATACAAAGATATATTACTATGACAGTATAAACAATCAAGTTGTAGCAGAGAGAAAAAAAGGAGACAAGACTGACTTAAAGGAAAGGGGTCCTTCCTTTTACCCCTGACAGGTAAGTTTACCCTAATAGGATACTTGCAGTTTCTGTGGGAGACTGCCACATAAAGATGCTTGACAAACAGTTGTTGAAAAAATATACTTGGTGTACCCCCTAGTAGATGGTGAACTACTTGAGCATATGCCTGCCTGCTTGCCTGCCTTTCTCGTCCCTTCCCTTCCCTTTTCTCTTTCCCTTCTTCCATGTCTTTCCTTTCTTCCTGTTCTCCTCTCCATCTAGCACAGTGTTGAGAACTTACATTTGTTTAAAATTCATTAATTTCCCTGCCTTTAGCTTCTTCAGTAAAGTACAGTTCACAGAGTAGAGCCATCTTTCAGAAATGTGTAAGCTGCTCACTCCTGCAGACCAAAGGGAAAAATGAGAGGACAAGAGAGTGCTAACATTTTACCAAATTAACGAGAGGGTATATTGGTGCCTAAAATGTGCTGGGAAATACAAAAATACTCATAAGCCCATCTTGGAAAAGCTTGAGCAAGTCTACAGGGACTAGAACTGTTGCTGAATTTATGGTACCCTGGGAACCTCTATTTGTCAAATGCCATAGAGGCAGCACTGACAGTGGCACAGGTGAAGATGAATTTTCATTCAGAGCACTGAGCCTTCTGACTCCATTAATCCTCAGGGTTTTGATGATGAATTTCTTTCTTTTTTATTTTATTTATTTTCACTCTAATGTCTCCTCCCACTGCCCTGTAACAGCATGGATGGAATAGAACAGATGGTGCTTTATGTGGAAGACCGAGGGCTCATGAGGATACAAAGCCTGCCCACTTTGCAATCACATGACTACACGTGCAAGGAAAAGTCTTGATTTCCCCTGGGAGACACAGATGCAATGATATTAGTATTCCCAGTGGAGGAAGAGGAGGGGAAAGCTAACAGGTCATTTATAAGGAAGACCACACTTATACCAATATACTCTTCAGCAAAGACCATGTTTAATCACAAATATAACAAGATAAGCAGTATCTGAAGATTTAAAACACTCAAGTAAAAATATAGGCAAATAAGGATTTTAACATGCTGCTACACAAAGACTATTCAGAATGAACTAGTGAGGACATACAGTAGTAGAATACTGGCCTCTAGTTAACCTGTGATTGGCTCTGACCCAGTTTTAATCGGAAGAAGCCAGGATTTACAACCTGCTTAAAGATGGAGTTTGACAACTGGTATAATCACAAGAGCTGTCAATACAAGGACAGCTGTCAAGCTGAACAGTAATTCATAAAAAATAATAGCTAAGCCCCCAAAGACCTCCGTAATACTGTCTGCATTCACTGGATTTAACCATACCTTCAGTTTTAGACAAGTTCCAAGAACAGGTTAAAGGCACTTAAAGAAACAAACTCTATAAATAGCTACTGAATGCCTCCTAAACAAAAGGGTAACTAATATTAAGGGATTAAATGAGTAAAGTATGCCTGGCGGATTCTCCGGTGTATAACAGGTACTTAATAAATGGTAATTACAGTAGTACTATTACATACAAGACTGTTTTGATCAGCTCAACAACTGGCAAAAGTCCAGTGATATAATAAGAAAATATGAATAAAAATGAATCATTCTAAAAATAAACTTAAAACATTAATTTTTATGAACCATTACTGAATTGCCATAATATCTTAGTTTTATATATTTGTAATGTCAAATCTCTGACTTATGATGATATAAGAATATAAAAGCCTTGACTCACTGAGCAGGGTGACCAAAGATAAAGGATTTTCCTTTATTTTGCTTCTATAAAAGATTATTTTCCACAAAATATTATGTATTTTAAGATAATCCTAAACTATAGTTACTTATGAAATTACGAAGAGGAGTGAATGTACAATCAGAAGAACTGCCAAGTGTCTTGGCTCTGCTACCTACAACTGCATTACTCTGGCAAGGTCACCCCCTCTCCCCTCTAGCCTTCAGTTTTTCATTGGTAGGCAAGGGAAAACAATATCTAGGTTCAGGTATTTGTTGGAAAGATTATCAAGGGCCGAGAATTTAGCTCAGTGGTGCCCTTCCTGCCTTGCAAGCGCAAGGTCCCAAGTTTGATCCCTGATACAAAAAAAGGGGAAAGATTATCAAAATAGAAACAGTAACACCACCACCTTATCTCTAAGTTGAGATATTTTTGTGTGTGAACTTTGTATCAAAGCATAAAATACAGAAGAGTACTGAAGTCACATATATAAATTCTCTGAAGATGAATTCATCCATGAGAGTAGCACCTAGATGATCAAGAATAGGTTCATTATTAGAACATCAGAAGCACCCTTGCCCTGACAACCCCCTCCAGTTGCAACTTGCCCGCTTCCTCCAAAGTAATCTACTAATGCTGCTGCTGAGTTTTTTCTGTTTCTTAAATTCATTCATCCATCCATCCATCCTTATTTTTGTGGTAATGCAGATTGAATCCAGGATTTCTGCACTGAACTACATCTCTAGGCACCCCTCCTCCTTTGGTTTTGAGACAAAGTCTTGCTAATTTGCCCTAGCTGAGCTTGAACTTGCAATCCTTTTGCCTTGGCCTTCCAGAGTGCTGAGATTACAGGTGTGCACTAGCATGCCTGACTCTTACCTTTATATAAATGGGAAGCATACAGTATATACTCTTTTGTGTCCAGCTCTTGAGCTTCATAGTGTGTTTGTGAGACTCCTCCAAGTAGCTGCCTGTGGTTATAGTTTATTTTCATTGCTGTATAATGTTCCACTAGATGAATACTTTAGATTATTGTCATTAGATCTCGAAATTCTTAAATCTGAATATTTCAGTATTGTCACTTCTATAAATAATCAGTAAATATATCCTTATGTATTGATTCTCCTCTAACTTCTTCTGGAATGCCTATTAAAAATGCTGAACTTTCTTATTCCACTCAATTTCTCTATTACATTTGTCATTTCTTTATTTTTCTGCTTTTTTCATGGTTTCTTTAGAAACAGCTTTATATTTTTTTGCTTTGTCAATTCTACACTTTAACCTAGAAGTTGTAAAATTTTCATATTTTTTCATTGATTAAAATTCTATTGGCTTCTGTTTCAAATCTTCCTGATGTTTTTTTTTTTGGTACCGGGGATCAAACTCGGGTCCTTGTGCTTGCACAGCAGGCAGCAAAACCACTGAGCTAAATCCCCGGCCCCTCTTCCTGATCTTTTATGGAGTGTCTTGGTCTTGTTGATGCCTCAATTACTGGTATATAGAAAAGCTATTGAGTTTTGTGTATCCTGCCACTTTGCTGAATTTATCAGATCTTAAAGCTTCTGGAGGGATTTTTAGGATATTTTAAGTAAAAGATCATCATCTGTAAGTAGGGATAATTTGACTTCTTTTCCTTGTACTCCTTTTACTGCCTTCTCTTGCCTAATTGCTCTGGCTAAAACTTCAAGTGGTATATTGAAGAAAAGTAGTGAGAGTGAATACCCTTGTCTTGCTCCTGTTTTTAGAGGAAATACTTTGGGTTTTTTTCCCCCATTCAGTATGAAGTTGGCTGTGGGTTTGTTATATATAGCTTTAATTATATTGAGGTAAGGTCCTTCTATATCTCCTGACACTTATTAGTGAGGTTGAGTATTTTTTCTTGCTTGCTATGTGGCTTTTCTCATTATGGACTGATTACCCATATTTTTTTTAGTCCATTTTTCTGTTGGATTGTTTTTGCTACTGATAGGGTAGATGTTCTTTATACATTCTGAGTTCTTACCTGATGTAGGTTATTTACATTTTATACATCTTCTCTCCATCTGAAGATTGTTATTTTTCTTGGTTTATATTATGTTGTTTTACTGAAGTTTAAGATTTTCCACAGCGCTTGGTGGCATATGCCTAAATCCCAGCACTCAGAAGGCTGAGGTAGAAGGATTGCCACAAGTTTGAGGCCAGCCTGGGCTACAAAGTGAGTTCAAGTCTAGCCTGGACTACACAGAGACCCTGTCTCAAAAAACACAACAAAATTTTAATGTGGCCAAGTTACCATAATTTAAAGTACAGTGGGGTGGGGGATTTAGCTCAGTGGTTTTGCCGCCTGCTGCGCGAGCACAAGGACCCAAGTTTGATCCCTGGTACCAAAAAAAAAAAAAAAAGTACAGTGGTACCTCGGTTCATGAAGTTAATTTGTTTTATGATTTTGGAAAAGATGGCCATATTTGTGTTTATGTGGGAAAGATAGTGGCAGTCATATTTGGCACCTGATACAGAGTTTGCAAACAAAATTGTTCAAAAACAAAACCATCACGAACTGAGGTACCACTGTATAGAGTGTATATTTTGTTGAGAAGCCATTTCTTTTTTGTTGTTGTTCTTATAAACATTTATTTTTCCTCCAAGTTTATTGTGCTTTTCTATAATCATGTGAAAAGTCTTCATTTCCCTTTTCCCAAGTGTTGAAGTTCAAAAAGTCAGGTCTTAACCATACACTAATCTTCATTTCTTCAATGTCTTGTATGTTGATTTAGTTTCATATGTATTTATATTAGTTTTCCTTGGGGATTTTTACATCAATATATATATTCCTACAGATATATACAAGCTTTTTATCTTCATCTTACCACTTGAGAATACAACTTTAAGTATGTTTTACACAGCTGTTTCTTGGTCAAGGCCATTTGCAAGAGCAAGTCGGTTTCTGAAGAAATCTTGTTTTGTAGGTGAAGGATCCATTGAGGGATTCTCATCAGTTTTTTCCCTGTATTCTGATCCACTGGACTTCTTTTTAAAGAGCTTGAGGAAGGAGCTGTGAAAGAAAGCCCCCTTTCTGGTCTTGCCTGGGATTTTGATCCCTGAAAGATGTTTGTTCACTTTCTCTTTCTTCCTTTGGACAGAAGCAGATGGTGTCTTCTAAATGCATTTCCCTCCTTACTTCCAAATAGGTCTATTTTTTGCTTTGGGACCTCTGTTAGGGGGAGAAGGTCTATGGAGTGCTGTGGGCAGAGACAGCGGCCTTGAGCGGCACCGAGAAGCCATTTCTTATCCAATATTCTCAAAATTTAAATTTGTGCTTTTCTCAAATTTATACCTTTAATCCACCTCAAACAGATTTATGTAAGTGGGCTAAGTTGTTCTGGTTATCTACTGTTGCATAACAAACTATTCAAAACCTAGTGGTTAACTATAATATTTTTTCACAATTTTGAGGGCTAATTGGTGAAGAACAATTTTTTGGTTTTACTGCTTTTCTCTACTGTTTTTCTATTTTAATTTCATCTATTTCTACTCTAATCTTTCTTTCTTTATGTTTTATTTAGATATAGTCTGCTATTCTTTTTCAAGTGCCTCCAGGATGGAAGTTTGGTATATTGATTTGAGATGTTATTATTTATTTCTTAGCATAAGATTTATAGCTATACATTTCCATCTAAGCACTGCGTAGCTCCATCCCATCAGTTTTGGTATGTCTTCATTTTTATTAATTTCAAAGTATTTTCTAATTTCTCCCTTGATGCAATGGTTATCTAAGATTGTATTGTTTAATTTCAACATACTTGTGAGTTTCCAATTTTTTTCCTGCTCTAGATACCTAATTTCATTCTATGGTGCTTGGGGAATATACTCTGCATTACTTCTATTCTTTTAAATTTACTGAGGTTTGTTTTATGGTCTAGTATATGGTTATCCTGAAGAATGCTCCAGTTGTGCTTGAAAACAATGTATATTCTGTTGCTGTTGGATGGAATGTTCTAAACATGTCTGTTAGGTCTAGTTGGCTTATAGCATTGTTCAAATTTTCAACTTCTTTTTTTATCTTCTGCTTAGTTGTTCCATCCATTATTGATACCGAATATACTAATGTATTCAACTATTTTCTTCATTTTTTTTTTTTTTTTTGTCCTGGAGGTTGAAACTAGGGTCATTTTAGGCAAGTCCTATACCACTGAGCTCTAGCTTCAATCACTCCAACTATTCTAATTGTTTATTTTCCCCTTCACAACTCAGTTTTTGCTGCATATATTATGATACTATAACTAGGTACACATACATTAACAACTGTACTTTCTGGATGGTTTGATCCATTCATCATGATAAAATGTCCCTCCTTATGCCTAGTAACATTTTAAAATCTGTTTTGTCTAATATCATGGCACTTTTCTGTGGTTTCTGTTTGCATGATATATATTTTTCTATCCTTTTACTTTTCAATCTATTTATATCTCTGAATCTAAATGGCATCTCTCTCTCTCTCTTTTTTTATTTTGGTACTGGGGATCGAACTCAGGACCTTGCACTTGCGAGGCAGGTGCTGGAATCACTGAGCTAAATCCCTAGTTCCTAAATGGCATATCTCTTGTAGACAATGTTAAGTTGGATAATGACAATCTCTGCTTTTTGGCTGGATTTTTAGTATTATAGCAGAATTTACATCTGCTATTTTCCCTTTTGTTTTCTGTAGGTATCATGTCTTACTGGTTCCTCTATTATTCTTTTACTGCTTTGCTTTTACATTAAATGAAGGTAGCAGTCTCTCTCTCTCTCTCTCTCTCTCTCTCTCTCTCTCTCTCTCTCTCTC